CAGTGCTCCCAGCATTCAAATAATTACTCAGAATAATGAAGGGGCAATGTCAGGCTTGCTGACATTTCTGCAGCCAGCCTGTATTGTGCTTGCTAGCTTCAGGGAGAGCAAAGCCGGCTGATTTCCTTCGCCATCCTAAGCTTAGAGTGGTTAGGGTGGAGAGAGCAGCTAATGAGTCTGTGGAAAACGCAGTACTGGAACAGAAAAAGGCACAGAGTGTCTCGAGAACAGAGGACAGTCCATATCTCTTCTGTTTTCTTCCCTGAGAATAGAAATGGCAGCACAGGGGAGAAACAGGGCTTCAGAGGGTCCCCAGTCTCATTCATAAAAACATTTAAGAATGGACTCAAACAGAAGCTTTAGGACAATTTTATTAGAATTCAGGGAAAAATCCTTCAGCAGACCAGTCCTGAATCTCAGCAACTCTCTTGAAGAAAGAATTGTAGAGGGGAGAGTGGTGGACTATCAGCCACATGGCAAGGAGGAGAAAGGGCTTCACAGTAACGAAACATAAAATGCTGGGGCAGCCCAAAGCAATGGGAAAAGCATAGTTAGAAAAGAGATACAAAGAAGCAAAGGAGAGGTTACAGGTTTTTCTGAAGAATCCTGAAGACTTACAGATAGTGCATGTCTGTGACCAGCTAGGTCCACAAGAACTGCACCAAGGGATGAAGATTTCCTGCAGGAAAAGTTCACCATCTCATTAACATACTAGGTATTCCATCCATCTCTGTAGCATAACTTAAAGTGAACCCACATTTTTAGGAGTGGTCCTGACCAGGTGATTGACCTGCAAAAACTGGAAAATTAAGGTTCCACCTAGGATTCTTATTCGTCAGGACCAGCCTTCTCCCAGGGTCTTCTAACAGTGGCATCTCTCCTCTGGTGCATTGTGAAGAATTTCTTTACACTGTAAATATTCCAGCAAACCACCTGATGCTCTGTGACTTATTCTAGTGACTTATCTTCTCTATTTCCCCTCCCTGGAGGTGTCTACCAATGATTTCTTCTCTGCTTCTCTTCCCCAAACTGTCAGCTTTTGTGTTTTCTTTTTACTGTTTTTAGAAGAGCAATTCCACTCTGCCCCCAAATTTGTAACTCCCTCTCATCTCCTTAAGCAGTAGACTACTCAGTTGTTTAGAATCCTATGGAGAAACACTGCAATAACTAAGAGCCAGTCCCTTATGGTCTATGTTTTTGAAGAGAAAATAGAATTTTACAAAACAAATATGAAATATTATGATTTCTATCCTTCTATTTCTTTTTTAATGGTCTATAATAAATGAGTTCACCATTAGAAGAAGCAAAAATGTTCCCATTATTATTCATAGACAGTTGCTTTAAAACCATGACAATAATATATAAGCAACATATGTTTAGTAACATACATATCATACTCCTCCATTTTAATATATGGAGCATTTCTGTAATCTCAAGATACTATCTAGCTACTGAACAGTAATATTAGATATATTCTTAGTGCCTCTAGAAGTGAGCAATGAACTTGGGATGAAAATGCATCTTTTTACTATAAACTATAATAATGCAAATGAGTTCCTTAAAATAAGGCTTCAGATATCACATGAAATAAGTTTGCTTTTATATCAGCTCTTCATAAGACATTAATAAGTATGCTTCTCTCGTTATAATTATTTTTCTATTAAAGTAGGTTGGTATGAGGGCTGGAGGCGTAGCTCGGCCATTAAAGTAGGTAGGTATGAGCCCAAGGAATTAGGTCATACAAATTTTTTTTAAGAAAATATTTTCAGTACCTAGTTGATCTTTATCCTTTTTAACAGGAAGTGTGTGTATGTGTGTGTGTGTGTGTGTGTGTGTGTTTCACAAGTAGGTTTACTTATTCAAAATGTTTGTCCTTGGTATGTATACAAGTTAGAAAAGGCTGAAATAAATGGATTGCATTATTAAGAGTGGGAGCAACTTGTACTCTTTTCCAGTAGGCTTGGTGAATTTCAAAACTTATTTGCTCTATTGGTGCAACCGAATGAAATGCTGAACAAAGATATGTCATGTTGAGCACTTAGGAAATTAGGTGTAAGATTTTGGCCCTAAGTATATTTTATTAAAGAACAAGTTAGAGGTCTATTAAGCCTGGGGCAAAGCTCTCCTGTTATCCTTGACATTTGGTACATCTGATTGCTTTGTGATAATAATACCTCAGTAAAACCTGTAAGCAGAAACCACCAATTTCATAATTGGTCAGGAATCTCTTAAAAGCTTTTATACTTGCAGAGGAAGAAAAAAACAGAGAGAGCAAAAAAAAAATCACGCATCTTTTATGGGATATTATTTTATAAAGGAATTGTGGAAAATGAAATATCATGCTACAATTTAGGTGTGGCACAGAAAACTAGGGCAACACTTACTTTTAGAAATATCAAGTGTTATTCACTGGTTTATAATTAATTACATAATTATATACTAGAACACGAAGATCCCAGGGTACCTTAATAGAAACACTGCACTTCCAAATAAAATAACAATAATTATCACCTATTATATTCAAAGTGCTTTGTTAGCTATATTTTTTAACTCCCCATATCTGTGTGTAAATAAACATCATTAAGCATATTAATCTTTCCTATAGCTTAGAAATAAGAAAACTAAGGCAGAGAAGTTGGTTTGAATGATGAATTAAGCATCATGGTCTGGAATCATTTAAAGAGGCAAGTATTCAACAGAAACAATAGGTGTTAATAGAGTTCAAAAATAGCTCTTGCAACTATTCATAAATTACCAGGTACTAATTAATATTTACAAGTATCACCTTTCTTCCAGTCCATGTGACAAAATCAGTTTATATTCTGAAGACAATGTTTCAGCAGCCTTGAAACTACTGGAGACACCTGGTACAACTGAACTTTACCTTCCAGACACCATCCTAGGTCCTTGGTAGCCTCATGAACTTGTACATAATTAAAACCATTGGGTTGGGAAATTGAAGCACTATAATAAACTGAAAGTCACAGAGTTCAAGACAGAGATAAATAAAAGTTTACAAACTACATCTTTCTAATAAAGGAATACTTTTTGAAACAGCAGCAGTTTGTGAAGTTGGCTATAAAGTAGAGGTAGGAGGGGCCTCAGGGACAGTTGGTGCTCCTGTAATCGCCACGGTGAGAACTGCTGCTGGAATAGAGACTGTGGAGCCAAGATGTTCTAACGCCATCCCCAAAACATTGTAGAAAAAGTCCAGGTGAAACAGAAGGCATAAAGAAAAGGGATGCTTTCTGACAGTGTTCCAAAACTGCAGACTCCTTCGATGAGGAATAAAGTGTGATTGATGTCTGTTTGTGAAGCTTTGAGCCAGAGGAAATCATCCAACAACACTTCATTTAGGGATAAATAAGGCAAATAGTGGCCTTGTGATGATCTGAGACTCCTGTAGCACAGGTTGCTTGAGAAGAGAATGAGACACGATGGTCTGGCTCTGCCTTGGTGCCTGAAATGATTGAGGTGCAGAGAAAAGGACTTTGAGGTTCTCCTTGGTGCTGATGAGTACACAGCTACAGGGCAAATACTCAAGCTCTCTGTGTTGTGTGTTGATGAACTTGGTTTACATAGAAAGAATCTATCTGATGGCACTTGTTGCCTGTGATAATTGGTATACACTACATAAGCACATTCCAGATTCACTTAAATCTATAGTAATTAATGGAAAAGTTTGAGATGTGTGTTCTGGGTACAGTTTGCTCCCTGAGTAGGAATTATCCACTACTAGATGGTAGGTTTGTGGGAAAAACATTCCCTGCTGTTTTGTTTGCTGCCCTTGGTGAAGGCTAGAGATGCGTTGAACCATCCAGACCATGTGCTTGGTGGTTTTCCACCTATCCTTGAGATAGACCCAGCCTTACATTTGAATTAAATATCCACTCAAGTGTCAGGATACTCCATGAAATCACAGTGCTGAGCAAGACTACTGATTTTGGACCTAAGAATCAGAGAAACAAAAGAGCACAGCCTAAAACACTCACTAGCTAAACTGCTTACTAGCTACACTGACAGACTAGAACACTTAATTATAAAGAATGAGCAGAAATATGGTTCAGAAAAAAAAAAACTTTGTTTATACCCAAATAAAAACAAACGTTTAAACTCAGTTACCTCAAACCTTCTTAAGATCAGATTTGTGAAGTCACTCATCTAAGGCAGCAACTGATGAAAGTGAACTTAAAATAGGAATCTGTGCATGCCCAGCTTCTCCACCTGGCATAGCCATTTATAATTGTCATAGTCTTGGAGAAGACCTTTGTAGCTATGTTGTATAATGTGTTATTATTTATATTTATTAGAAATATGCTTTAAGAGTACATAGATATACATATATGCACACATACATATACATGCAGATCCATTAATATATTTACCATGTAGTTCTAAGGAAAATTCTGACCAAACAAATTTTGGCCAGCTAAATGCATCATTCCATAGAAGTGAACAAACAAGTGCTTTGCTCCTGCTGCTACAACCTTGTAGATTGCTTCTGTGAACAGCCTGCTCTTCTTCCCTCTTGTCTTTTCTGACTATTGTTAACTCCTTTGCCAGTTCTTGCTTTTTGATTCTTCAACCGCACTTTTTGTCCTCTCTGAAAACATTTTACAGACGACCATCTTCCAAAATAACAACATCAATTAATTTTTTAACTTGAAAAGAAATCACATTCATCCTAATCTGCCCTGGCTATTGATGTGCAGTATGTGGAAGAGGCTGTGCTGGGACTGATAAGCCCCATAGGCGAAGGCGCTTCAGCAGGAGGCTAAGCCCTAACACACTCCGACTGCTGTTTACTGAGCCAGCCCTGGGCCAGGTAGGATGAGGAGGTGACTTAGCAAGAAGAAACTGCCACCAGACAGACACTGCGGGACCGGCAGGAAGTACCTTCACTCTGGCTGCACAGGGTTCTTTACCATTTGTTTTGAGTTTAAATAGACATCAGTGTGTTTCAGGAATTTCTCTCTTACCATTACCCTTTCTCTCCCCAGTTCTCTCCCCATTTGTAGAATTGGATAATCTCCGAGGAGACCCACAACTTAGCAGTCAAAGCACCTCAGCTCCCCAGGATGCTTGTAATTCAATGGTAGATGCAGTGGGATTTGAGAGTGTCATCACCCATTGTCCCCAGGAGCTTCCTCAAATGATGGCTGCAGGTAAATGTTGGTGGCCAGCATAAGACAGAAGAGCTTTTGAATTTTTTCTGGAAAAGTTTGCTCAGCTCTGAAAATAGGCATTGTACCAGGGGCCAGAGTCCTGAAAAAAAAAAAAAAATAGCCATGAAACTCAGGAAGATCAAAAAAGTATGAGGTCAAATTTAATATATTCTACTAATTTTCTAATTTTATTTACTTGTTTTCTTAAAGTCAGTACTGCCAAGACTATTCCCAAAAAGTCATTGTAGGTAGGCCCTGCATTTCCTTACTATAATAACTCAAACATTGGTAAAAGAGGAGATATGTTTCAAGGTACCACTTTAAAAATTCAGTCAAAGCCAGGCATGGTGGTACACGCCTTTAATTCCCAGCATTTGGGAGGCAGAGGCAGGTGGATCTTTGTGAGTTCAAGGCCAGCCTGGTCTGCATAGTGAGTTCCAGGTCAGCTGGCGCTACAAGGAGACCCTGTCTCAAAGAGACAACAAAAAAAAAAAAAAAAAAAAAAAAAAAAAAAAAAAAAATCAGTCAGGACCTGGTCTATTCCTTGACTACTATTTTCCTATTTGATAGTTAAAAGGAAAAGGGATGACTGGTCCAGCATAAATCTTGGAAACAGATACATTTCTTTATCCTTAGTCTATAAGGCAGTTGACTTACTATCAAGAGCCTTTCTTCTTTACCCCTTGACCTTGTCACTTACCAAACATTGCTTCACAGGGAAGGAGGAAGTGAGTCATTTTTCAGAGGTACCTCTTTAATGACATGCTGTAAACAATACAAATTCCATGTCATTACATTTCCTTCCAGAAAGTTATTTGGAATCACTTCTTTATATTGTGTATAGAGAAAACATTGCTGTGATGTGTGATGCAGATTGTAGTGCTTTATTTTTTTTATGGCTTGAAAATGTGTTAAATGAAGCCTCATATCTCTCAAAATGTGATTTCTTTTACAGGAAAGACCCTTGCCTGTCAATGCTAAGCTAGAGTTTGTTTCTTCTGCAGCTGCTGATGGGTTGGGGAGCATAGCAATAGACACCACCCAGCTCAACATGTCCGTCACTGATCCCACAGCCTGGGCCACAGCCATGAATAACTTGGGCATGGTTCCTGTGGGGTTGCCTGGACAGCAGCTTGTGTCTGGTAAGCCTTTTCCTAGTTTGAAGATGCTTTGCAGCAGTACCGAAGGGTATGGGTGACAGGTGTCGAGTAAGCTCTTTCCTTTCGGATACTGAGCATGGCCTTTGGTTTATGACCAGGGCATGTTTGGCTGCTTGTGCTGGAGATTCCTTTTCCTCATCACCTCGTTCTTTGCAGAAGCAGCCACCCTCACAACCATCAATACACGTAGCATCTTTTCTCTACAGCCTTGCAGTGACAATTGCATTCTCGTATTGGTAAACAGTGTAGCTGATACTTGCTTTCGAATTTGCAAAACTTATTCTTGTACATCATTCTATATGATTTCAGTCTTTTGTTTGAGATGGGTTGATTCATGTTTTTTGTTGTTGCTCTAGTTAATGTTCCCACTTTACAAATAGGGAAGAAGAGGAAGAAGACAAATGTTTAGGGTCACTTTTCCAGCATTGAAATAACAGATCTATAAACTTAGCTCAACTAACACTAAATTCAGAGTTTGCTGTCTGCTGCACTTTGAAATAGTAATATAATACAATCAATAGGTAGCATATTTAGAAATATCACCAAGTCAAAGGTCATTACCACTTAATTCAATATGAGTTTCCTGAGGGTTTTTCATGTAGAGCAGGCTTTGGCAAATAAAAATAAATATATACACTTATAAGTATCAGCAAGAAACGTGTCTCCCTAAATTGCAAAAGAAGATAGTGACTGAAGACAAGAATAAAAAGCTAATGTATAAGAACAGGTGTTTGCTAGCTGGTGGTACAGAGGTAATATAGCAGTCCGCAGGTAGTCACTGGAGCTCTAAGGGACAGGTTCTCAGATGGGAGATGAGCTGTGCATGCTGAGACAATGTGACTTACATGTCTACCCACTCACTCAGCAAGTGCTCACTAAGCCCTGCTGGGTGCAGGGGCCCCAGTAGGAAGCAACCAGGCTAGTCTCCATCTTCTTGGGATGTGCTGGTTAACAGCCAATTACTACGCTGAATGATGTGTCTAAATAGCAGAACAATTGTCTTTGATCATTAGGTTAAATGGTGGAGGATGGTGTGCATTAAGTAGGAATCAGCAATCTGTGGAATGTTTAGCTCTGCCCACTGTGCTAAATTTGAACTGTCCTCCCTCCCTTTCCCTCTGCCTTCCTTCGTTTCTCCCTCCCTCCTTCCTTCCCTCCATGCCTTCTACTCCCCTCGTTCCCCCTTTCTTTTGTCAACAATGTTCATAATGAAAAATTCTTAGTTAACTATATTATATGTATGCATATATAAAGAGGCATGTATACATGCACACACATGTGGTTTCTTTTTTTAGCTCAGCAAGAAAGAACATGAGGATTGGAAATAGGGAAACAATGAGAGCCAGGTGTGGTGGTACACATCTGTAACCTGAGTTCTAGAAAGGCTGAGGCAGAAGAATCATGAGTTCCTGGCCAACCTGGCTACATAGGGAGGCCATGTTTCAAAAGTAATGCTGTAACATTAATACAGTTGACAGTGAGTCTACTGTGTGGGTGGGGTGTACATACCTAAAGGATACTTTCTGTAAGTTGCTAATGTGTTTATCCAGGGCCTATTATCACACACTCATCTAGACATCTACTTCCTTCTAAGAATGTGAGAGTAAAGATTTGTATTTTCCCACCCAGATTTTTCCAGCTACCTAATTGAAATAGTCATACATCAGAAATTATATTATTCTTGTCTCACTTCCCATTTCTCTCAGAAAATGTGGAAGTTCTAGAGTAAGCCAAAACTCAATAATTCATTATTTTTCCTTAGGATTTTGAGTCTTCTGACATTTTAACTGTGACCAATTTACGATTTTCCTAGCAACCTACCATGAAAAGAATTACAGCCCTACTCGTTATAGAAGATTTATCGTATCCACCCTGAATTACATTCTCTATCTCTTGTATTAGCCAAACTGCTTAAACTGGATTTGCGTCTTTCAGAGTCCCTCTGGGCTTTCCTTCCTCACTTTAGCAGCTTGACAAGGTAACTAAACTTGACTGTGTTCTCAGGGCTGTGAGTCAGCTGCAGCTGTTGACCTAGAGTCAGGTCTGGTTCTGTTGTGACTGGCTAGTACTTACGTATTTTCCTCTAGTCTTTTAGCCTATGCAAGTGTTTCAGTCATATTAAATGTAAATTTTTCTTCTATATGCTTTTCAATTAAAATGCTCAATTTATTTACTTGTATTTTGTGTGCATGTTTTCCCTGCATGTATTGCATGTATGTAAGTGCACCCATATCTTATAATTCCTGTGGAAGTCAGAAGAGGGCATCAGATCCCCTGGAACTGGAGTTTTGGATGGTTGTTAGCTGCCATGTGGGTGCTGGGAAGCAAATCCAGATCTTCTGCAAGAGCAGTCAGCGCTCTTAATCATTGAACCATCTCTCTAGTCCTCTCTTATGCATTTTTTTGGGGGAGCACATTACCTTCAACTATTTTCCATTTTATACTTTTATTTTAAAATGTAAATAGTTCATCAAGTAAGTCATCCTCAGTTTACTTAACCATTCTGTTTCCATTTTGGCTGTTTCTACTTTTTCATTCTTACTGGTTGAGTTTATTTAGAGAACTTAATTGTTCTCATGTAAAGGCATTTTACCTTTTCTATAACAAAGTGATTGCACCTCTGCTATGGAGGTATCTTAACATTTAGATGTGAAAGCTACAAAAAATGTTTTGTATCTGCATGTAGTAAACATTTACTAAACATTAGCTTTTTCTCCATTTAACTTTTTTTGGGGGGGGATTTAATTCTTTGACAGTTTCATACATGTATGGAATGAAGTGTAGCCACCACCACCACCAATTTCCCTTTCTCATCCTCTCCATTTTTCAGTATAATTCTCTTCTTTCCAACAAGCCCCACCCCTCCTAATTTGATGTCTTCTTGTATGTAACCCACTGAGTTTGGCTAGTTTCTTGCCCAAGCCTGAGTAGGTAAGAGGTTATTTATTTGAACATGGGCAGAATATAAATGGCTACACCACTGGAAAAAAATAACTCCCTGACCTCTACCCCTGAAAGAATTAATTGCCAGTTGACTCAAGAAGGAGTGGGACCTCATGAGCTCCTGCCCCATCCATGATTAAATATTGCCAGGCCCATCATGTGCAGATCTTGTGCAGACAACTACAGCTACAGTGAGTTCATGAATGCAATGACCATGCATGTCCAGAAGATACCTTTTTAATTCATATCTCCCTGTCCTTTGGCTCTTACATTCTTTCAACCCCCTCTTCTGCGATGTTCCCTAAGCCTTGAAAGGGGTGACATAGACGGCCCATTTAGGGCTAAGCATTCCACCATTACTTGGTATTTTATCTAGTTATGAGTCTCTACATTAACCATACTTACCCATTGTAGTAAGAAGTTTTTCTGATGAAGAATGAAAGCAGTACTAGTTTGTGAATACAAACATCAGTTTTTAGAAGAAAGACATCATGACTATTTAGCAAAACAATAGTAATAGTTTCCCCCCTAGGGTCTATCTCCTCCCCAGCCATGGGTTCTTGACCAGGTTTACAGAACCATGCATGAGTCCACTTCTATAGAGCCTTTATATATAAAGTCCTATAGAGCTATATACATAAAGCAACTAATATTATGGTGAACATTTTTCAGCATAGGACTTTTCATTAGTTAACAATTTTTTACTTGGTTGGGTCTCACAAGTAGAACTAGTAAGTCAGAGAAGAGACTATTTTAATATATACTAGGCAAGTAATTTCTCCAGTGCCTCATGTATTTAAGATTTATTAATTTAATAAACAGAGATGACATGCTGGTTTTTTACCTCAAATTTTTTTTTTCAAATTATTTTCAAGATCCAAATTCTGAAAGAAAATTCCCATAAAGGTCTGTCCATTGAAGATTTGGTCTCCACCACATGGCATTTCTGGGAAGTGGTGGAGCCTTCAAAAGGTGAGGCCTCATGGAAGGAAGTTAGGTCACTGGGTATTTATCCTTGGACAGGACATTAGGATTCCGGCCTCTCTTCTCTCTTCACATCCCAGCCTTGCTCTGCCTGTGCTCTCGCCATGATGTTCTGTTTTGCAATGGGATCTAGTAACCATGGACCAAAATATCTGAAACAGTGAACCAAATAAACCTTCCTTCCTTTTCAGTTGGTTTTCATCAGGCATTGTGTCACAGCTGCTGAAAGTTGGCAAACACACCTTGTTTGTTCCTATTTAAAATTTCCAATTTTAAATAGACTATCTTTCTGCACTAATTTATCATAGACAGTTGTTGGTCATTTTCCATTGGTTTATATTTGGTTATTTTTACATATTTTAACAATCTGATTTTGTATTTCCTAAAAATATTACCTAGTCTTTTATTTTTCTTAATGTTGATTCTTTAAAAAAAAAAATGCCTTTGTGAGTTTGTTATTCTATTTCCAAAGGCAGAATAGTTTACACACTCTGGAACTGATTCAGATTTCCAATTTTCCACCCCGTCATTGACTTTCTTATTTTTAGCATAATCAAATTCTTCTATATGTATTCCTGTTTGTGAAATATCCACTGTATGATGCCCATCTGTTTTTGTTGGAGCACAGCTGTTGCACTCTCGCAGCTCTGTGGGGTTTAGCGGAAGCTCTGTCTTCTTTCACTGTGCTGTACTTGTGGTATTTGTTTCTTTTCAGTACAGCCCCAGTACCGAGGAAGCTGCTCTTTCACTTAGTGTTCGTGTCGGCCACCTCTGGAGTTCTTCGGTGCAACTGCAGAGTGTTAGAGGCAGTCTTTAATGTTTCAAAAGGGACTTAAAGATTATTTAGTGTAGCGCTCCTTCCAAGAAATCCACTCTGCAATATCTCTGACAGGATTATGGAGAGGCTTGTTTTTATGAGCACTTGGCTTTCTCCCAAAGTTTCTGGTATTTCTAAATGACCAAGCACTCTTCCCATATTTGTTAAAATTAAACTGACACCAAATCCCATTCCTCACTGTTCTTCTGTTTATTGAGAGATTAAAAGTATCAGCAAA